GTCAGATTCAGTCATGGGAAAGGCTCCATTTCTCTTGGTACCATTTTTGTGTATTAGCATTACATTGCTGGGACAAAAATACCTAATACCTGCAATTTAAAGAAGTTTACTTTGACTCACAGCTTTCAGAGGATTCAATACATAGTTGGTTGGACCCAAGACAGAAATTGCATGGCAAAAGGGCATGGTGTTCTAAAGCTGCTCACCCCATAGTGGTGAGGAAGCACAGAGAGAAGAGAAGAGCCAGGGAAGGAGATATATTCTCCAAGGGCACATGCCAAATGACACACCTCTTGCAGCCAGGCCCCAACTCCTAATAGCATATTTAAGTATGAACTCATCTTTGGATTAGTCCACTTATTAGTATAATATCCCATGATCCAATTACCTCCAAAAAGTACCACCTCTGAACATATAAGACTTTTGGGGAACATTCTAGATCTAAACCATAACTAATGGGGGGGGGGTTGTTGTACCTTCTTTGAAGACACTGATCATTTTTAAATCTATCTTTTGAATTGTCTAGCATTGCATCATTTTAGTATTTTTCAATTCAGTTATTAAAGAGTTATCTTGCCTTTTGTTTCTTTTGTGTTTCTATGCTGTAATTTGTATATCTGTTAACAATGCATCTCTTCCACTTTTCTTAGTGTGCTGTTTTCTCTTGAGGTTTCAATCCCCAGTAAATTCAAAGGAGAAAACAAACTATAGTGACAATGACAACACAAGGCCAAACTAGATACAGAAATACAGTAAAAAACCAAAGAAAAATAACAACTACACCACCAACAAAAATAGGAAAATGAGAAAAAAATAATGTAGAACAAACTATGAAGATAAAAACTAATAAAGATTAAAAAAAAACATAAGAGTGGGTAAGAGCTGGGGATTTAGCTCAGTGGTTTCACTGCAAGGACTGGAGTTTGATCCCTGGTACAAAAAAAAAAAAAAAAAAAGAGTGGGTAAGAGAAGAAAGAAGCAAAATTAGGGGGAAAATTGAGAAAAAGGAGAAAAGGTCAAGAGAAAAATTGTATAAAAGGATAAACATAGGTAAATAAATTAGATAAAAATAGCAAAAAAGAAAAAAAGAAAGAGGAAAAATGAAAAAAAGAAACACAAGTCTAAAATATTCTTCTAAGCAAAAATTCTTGAATTAGAGAATTTCCATCTCATATGGTCAGATTGTGAGTCACCGCTGAGGCCTGATATAATTCCTCTCTGCTCCCACTATTTATATTTATAGACTATTGCTATAAATAGGCTCATGTTTTTCACCAAATTAGGCCAGTTAATGATATATTGTCTGTGACAGTGCTGCATTCACTTCTAACTTAGTTTTTCTTTTTCTTATTTTTGGATTTTTTTTGTTTACCTGGATTCAATATGGGCTGGGCAAATGCCTACTCACTCAACATGTCCCCAGCCAACCCGAGGCATATCCTGAGATAGTGGAAGCATACAAACCACCGAATTTTACACTGAAGTTGGACAGCCAAGAGAACTAGGCAATCTAGCCCTTGGTATTGGCTCTTTGGTCCAATGTCCTGAGCAAACTACATGCCACAAGACTCACACATTACCACAGAATTTGATGCCACCAACTAGTATGCCTGCCAGAGCTGAAGCTCTCAGCTGCTTCAACTACTGTGAGTCTGTGACTGACCTCTCTCCATGACTGTCTCTTGTGGCCATCTCCCACCAGCCATTATAGCAAGGTGTCCTCAAAAACTCGGAATTATGAATTTTCCAAGCTTTCTTGTACCCACAGTAGCTCAGTCCTAAACAATGAGCTCCCTGAGATGCCTCCTGGTTATAGTCCTCTGATGTGTGGCAATGCTGCAGTGGTTTTCTTTTCATAATGTAGACTGCCTTGAAGAAGGAGTCGCTTTCAGACTGAACCCCTGCACTGGATTTACAGCTTGCAATAACTGTGGGTTTCTTGTGGAACTAGGATGGCCAATTCAACCTTTATCATTGGACCTGCTGGCCCTCTTTACATTTACCTTGTGCTTGTGGTGTTGGGTTCCCCTCCCATCAGGTAACCTGGTAACATTGTAGACTGATTAATACCTTTCTCTGATCTCTGTATTTATGTTTCTGCATCCTTTTTAGCATTTTTGTTCTTTCTCTTTTGATTTCTAGAGCTCTTCCTCTCTTTGGGTGCTCAGAACAAAGTTTGTCTTTTGCTGCCCCGATTCTTCTCACTCACAGTCATAGGAGAGACCATTCTCTTCTGCCTACCACATTACTCAGAGCCTCTTCATCCCTTTTCCATTCTTCATTGCAATATATTTATATTCCATCCCTTTTAGATTTTCCAATTGTACTTTGTGATATGTTTGAAAATGACTTACTGCTTCATAGAAATTCTTCATATGGGTATTATGCAAATGCTTAACATTAGCCTTCTGAAAAAAAATCCTCTTTGAGTTGATAAGTATTAAAAAATATCCAGAATATTTAATCATATCATCTAATGGTTGCTTTCCACATGAAAGTAATGTATCCTAATATCTATTTGCTTTATCATCCTTATAATGAATTTACAAAACATTTTGTTGGCTGGGTGCAGTGGTCCATGCCTTAATCCTTGGAAGACTGAGGCAGGAGTATCAAGAATTCAAGGCTATCCTGAACAGCATAGTGAGACAAACAAAACAAAAACAGTTTTTTCATATAAACTGTTTACATGTCATCTTTTTAAAAATTTGTCTTGATGTTATTATCTTAAAAGCTATAATTCTTCCTTTTATAAAAATTAGACCTTAGTAAAAGAGAAAGTCTTATTCTGAAAGAAGAAACAGTGTTCTTATCTTTTATATTAATAACATAGCCAACATATTAATTATTTTTAAAAAATAATAACTCGGAACTATATACAATTTGGCCACTAGAGGGCTTCATTATTTTTTTTACCAGTGAGAGTATATGAAAAAAAATGGTATTTAAAGTGTAAAATTACAAAGTTTTAAGTAAGGTAATTTTTATATAAAATATGTAATAATTCAATGAGATTATAAGCCAAATGTGCAAAATATATGATATATGTGAAGGTACTGTTCTCTATTTTAACATGTGCAAATAAGCAAATAATGCAGATTCACAAATAGGATAAATTTTTTAGCTTTATAATTTTTATATATTATCATTTATAATTTTCCATACATCATTTACTATCTTAACATTTTAAGTGGTTAGGAAAAGTATTCTTCATTTTTTCTCCCAATACCAAACATAGATCATGTATATTCATGTATATATATTCTGTATCTCTTCAGAGTTTTCTTAAAACTGAGGAGTAGCATAGTTCTTCTTGTAAATACTGTATTCGGTTCTGATAAAAAAAATGAATGCTGAAGTCTTTCAGGGATTTGTCAGCAGACTAAAATCTGTGGGATATCAATTTTCAAAGTCTCCTATCAGAGTTAAATGGCTGTCACCTATGTGATGAAGTCTTTGTTTTGCGAATTATGTGTGATATTTTATGAAATAACTCTGGACCCCCATGATGATAAAGATAGATGCTTGGAAAGCCTATTCTAAAAAATTCCAAATTTTAAATTCCATTTTCCCTTTCATCTCATATGTTCTGATTCATTAAATCAAACATGAAGATATATTTTTAAATATAACTCCTCTTACTCCTTTAAGAATGCCAAAACCCAGGCCCAGAGACTACCATAGAACTAGCTTTTTAGACCGGGGATCGTGTCTATCTGCATTTCTGCTATGCACACTCCCACCGTAATTGAGTAAAGTAGGTATTTTCTAGTTGAGAAAGATATTCTAATGTTGGGCTTTAGGGATTTTCAAATGTTCTCACTCATGCAAAAAAAAAGTAATATAACCTCCCTGTTTGCATCATTTTCCATAATTTTCCCTAGGTTTGCTTTTAACAAGAATATTTTTTAGTGACTTGCTCTATGACATTATCTTTGTTCTTCCTTAGGGCCCTACAGAACCTTGAATGCTCACATCAGTTTTCTGTTTAAACCTTTTGTGTCTACTTATGACTTCCACGTCAAGGTTAAACTAATTAGAAAAATAATGAAAACCCCTAGGAACTTTTGCATCTTTTCACCTGCATTTCTTTACCTGTTTGTCTTAACAGATTTCTTTCTTTTCCTAGCTTACATTTTCACTAATATATGTACCCAAACTATACATACATACAATATGTATACTACATCCAGTGACTCTCTACTACTGGTGCTCTCATTTGGCTTTTCAAACTTCATTATTTGTATTTTATACTTCCTACTTGACTCTTCAAATATATCACAAATATTTTTCTCTTTCTTTTCTTACTTTTAAAATGAATAAAGTAGGGAACTAATGCCAGAGTAAAGACCCAGTTTTATCATGGCACAACTCATGAGACTCCAAATTATAATTACATTCAGTTGTCCTCCCTTCACATCAAGAGGTGTGACCATTTCTAGTAATTTTGGATTTTTGATAAATAGTATTATTTTGTTGAACTATTTGCTTAGGGTATCAAAAAGAGGATAAATAAAGCTTTCTGATCTTTTTGATGAGTAATTTAATATTCTACCAAAACTATAAGATAAGTCAATATATAATAGTACAAATTATTAAAATCTTTCTCTACACTATGTACTAAATATTGGGATCAATAAGATGTAGAAAGGGAAAATATAAAAATGTGATTTTAATGTAACTATATATTTGTACATCTTACAAGTTTATTTAGTATATTATTTCCACATCTTCCCTCTCAAAGAGAGAGCTATTTCTGAAAAATATCCATCTTGAAGATATTAGTGTTTGTTTGTAAATGAAAGAGACTAAATATATTATAAACACAGCTTATTTACAGTCCAAATTCATTACTTCAAAAGTTTATAGACATATATAGAAATGGAAGCACTGAGTACCTCATGTAAAACTACTTTATTGCATTTCATTCATCTATGCTTTTCATTTATTCACTCAGTATGTATTCCTATCCTAGACATAAAGACACAGGGATCTCTACTCTCTGGGATGTTACAGTCCTGTCAAGGAGATGAACTTTAAGGAGCTAAATGATCAGTCTGCATATGACAGAATGATGCGTGGTAGGAAGCACACAGGGGCTCTAGGGGTGTAACTGGGCTGAGGTAGGTCAGGAAAATTGCTATGAAGAAGAAGGATAAAGGATAATTCCTGAAAGACAGAAGAACTTGTGTGTGTGTGTGTGTGTGTGTGTGTGTGTGCGCACATGCATATGTATATGCTGTAGCAGAAAACAGTGAGGCATGAAGCAACTGAGGTACAGAATGGCTTGCACAAGGTCACACAGGTGGGAACTACATGCTGCCTAAGCACTGGGTGAAATAGGAGCCCTTGATGTGGACAGCAGAACTTGGGCTCTGGGTGTGGTATAGTCTTGGGGAATGTTGGTCTTTATCTACAGGGCACTGGGAAAACATTGAAAAGTTTTGAATAATATATATTATAGATGTTTGGGACAGATGCATACTTACAGAATGTTATCTTCAATTGCAGTGTATAAAATCAGTTGAATGGGAGAGAAGAGATTGGATACACTGGAGTTTTGTCCTTGCTACCTTACTAGTAAGGTTTGCAAATATATTTTATTGAGCTATTTTAACAATGAGACAATAACAGACAACCTGAGGCTTATATTTGTTACCATTTACATTTTTAAAAATGCAAAATTATATCGATGTTAAGAGCTATAAGATTGTGTTAAGATTTACAGTTCCATTAGTTTAAATTACAGCCTCCTCTTGAATGTGATTAACATAATGGAATCATTTTGAAATGTCTATTCAAAAAAATACAAGTAGATGAGCTGTTATGCTGTTAAAACCATTAGGATGAAGGATGTTTCTGTTTCCATACTTTACAGGAAGCCTCAGTAAAAGCATACTGTTAAAATAACAAAATCTTATGAAAACAGTGATAAAGATTAGCAGTGACATTTCTGCTATTCTGCATAATGTTTGCTATAGGGGAAAGAAGAACTGTAAATACCTCAGTTTACTAAAAGTGAGAAACATGGAAATGTAAGACTTACCTGAAGTGATGGTAACTTTACATTTTAGCTGTGGATGAGACTCAGCTGTGCTTTGATACTACTTTCTCCCTTAGAACTTCTTTTATGTTTCCTTATACTAAACAATAGCACTTGGGCATATGACAATTAGAAATTTTGTATAACTTAGGGTACTTTTTTTTTTTCAGAAGCAACTCCAAAATTCTTACAACTATACAAGACAATGAAATAAATAAAACCAGATGCTTTGGTGTTTATATTACAGATTAAAGAAAAAAATTAAACATCTTAGACAAATTGTAGAGTTAAAAAATTGAGGGTTTTTTTGTTAAAAACACCATAAACTGTTGAAACTTGTGTAATTTTCAAGACTGCCAGGGTCTATTAATATTTTGGGGCAAATCATGTGTAGAATTGAATTTTATATTTAGACCTGTGCTGTATATATACACACATGTTCTGTCTATAAAATAATTAGAGTTAAAAAGAAATGAGCTACATAAAATGTCTGAATCCTTTTGCACTCTGTCAAAACACTACATTCCTGTGTTCTTTTAAAGGTACCAATAAATCAAAATCTTCGGAGGACTCATCTTTACAATTGTACCCAGTGCTAAACGCTCCAACACAGCACACAGGGCTCCCTGCAGCCTGGCCCTCACCTCCCTCTCGGCCTTGTCTCATTCATATTCTCTCTCCTGCTTTATTCTTAACCAACGTATAAAAACATTACACTTAATACCTTTATGCCACTGCACATGCTGTTGTCTCCAACAAAAAATGCCTTTCCCTCCAAATTTCATTTTATCATTCAACAAATCTTATGTTTGAAGCTTTATGAACAGTGTGCAACGGGCTGGCTTGGAAAGAGCCAGTCACCTTTCTCCCTGCTCTGCTGTCATTGCATATCCCTTCACACTGCACACCTCAGGTTGTAAGTCATCGTTAGCTTGCATGAGGAAGAACCATGTCTGTGTAGTCTTTCTCTCTAGTTCTTTTGGGAGAGGTATGACTGCCATATGCATATACATCCTCACTTGCAAATCAAGTTCCCAAAGTCTTAATGAAAGTAAAATTTGTATAATTAACCATCGCTATTCTATATCTAGGCCTATTCCAAGGAGGTATCTCTTTCTATTTGTTTTTATTTCTCTAATAGTAAACTACTTGAACAATATGCCTAAGCACAATTTTAAAAAGATTCTCATTTGATTCTTTTATGAAAGATGAGGAATTGAGGGGTTTTTTTTCTTTTTGACACATGTGGAAATGGGAAATCAATAATAACCAACAGCTCCATAGATCTCTATGGTACAAAGTTGACAAACCCATGGAAATATTTAATGAGCTCATAGAGAAGGAAATCTAAACCTGTCTCTAGATTTACATCAACTTCACAAAGGGGAATTCAAGAATCAGATGTATTCTCTTCTCATGTACCATCGTTAGTGACTGCAGTAGGTCATTTCTCCCCATCACTAATGTGTGAGAACTTTCAAGTTGTATGATCTGAGAAAAATCCAGTATTGTTTTTTCTCAGATCCTCTGGTTTTATTTTAGTTTGGAATAATTGCTTCTTAGGATTATAATACAGCTCTTGCTTTTAAATTGTTTTATTAATTTTCACAGTTCTTTTTCTTTTTTTTTTTTTTTT